ATTTTCTGCATTAATTTTATAGTCTAAGACTTGTCTTCTTCAGGATGTCTCTTACTATTACCGAATTCCCATTTTTTAGGGTGAGGGTGAAATTGAACACAAACATCTTTGGTGGTTTAAGATAGTGTGTCTTTTCCTGCATGCGACTTAGCCATAGAGCGAGAAGGTGACAAGTCAAGGTGAAGGGTCAGTATTCTTAGACTAATCATAAAATATTGCTCAGTCCTTGTTCTTCTGACCATGGTTATCTGTGATATTGAACTATGAAGTGGACCTAAAGCTAGCAGTTGCTTTTGTTAACTAACAAAAGAAGTAAAGTTTGATAGAATGACCTTACAGGAAAAGAATCAACTAGGCCTGACAGCCAATTTCATCTTTCACTCTATCTCTTAACTTCAGTGTCTTTTTTCCCCTGGTGATATCAACACAGCCACTAGCTTTTCTTTCTTTACCCAGAAACCCACTGTGAGCCCCACAGTAAAAATGACTTTTGGTCTCTGAAGCTTTCAGATTTAGATAGTATTCTAAGAGGTACAAAAATAGCAAGTATATTGAAAAAAGTTGGGCACAAGAGAAAAAAGTACTAAAATATAATTAGAAGGAACTAAGAGGAATGATTAATTTGCAATGTGAGGGGTTAAATTATGTATCGTATGTAATTTAAGAATAAGAGGAGTCACAAATTTAGTGCTGTCCCAAAATCTGGAGCTATAATTCAGAAGATGGGCATGGTAATAGAAGTTAATAAAAATCAATCTAAAGCGAAAGAGATAAAATGTGTGGACATATTCAGAAAGAATCAATTTTTGAAGAGAGAGCTTCTAAATGGGGTTTTTCCAGACTAAATTGTCCTCCGCATATCAATAGCCAGGTGAAATGAAAATTATCATTAGAGAACCTGCAGCCCAACTAATGGAAACATGTCAAAGGTAATATAATCTTTGCAGAAGGGTAGAGACCTTCAGGGCATCTGATCAGCCAAGCAGATATTCTCGCTGTCCACTAGACAAATATATCTTTTTCAGACATAATGAACATGCCATTTAAATGATCCAACTCTTGAACTAGACTCTTCGAGTAGAATTCTGATATTAATTTGGTTTTCTAATTAGCCTAGGCTTATAGAAATAAAATGCACTAAGTACCTAATACGAATAAGCTAATTGGATTTCAATGTGAATTAAATTTCCACTCTAGTTTATACATCAGTCTCTTTTAAGTTTGGCTAATTTGACTCAGGCCCCCAGGGTCTGCTAACCCTGGGGAAACTAACAAAATCAGAAGGCATAGGAAGTAAAGCTAAGGAGCAGATCCTGGTCCTCTGGTGATTGATTCAAATTGCAGCCACAGGCCCAGTCTACCTCCCTTAGTGGCAAATCATTTTACCTGAAACAGATAGAGAGGTACACATTTCACTAACAGACCATTTTCTAACATTATCTAATGAAGTCCTCCTTCACCGAGGACTTTTAGCAAATAGAATTCTCTCTTAAGTGGGATGGTTTAAGTGTAACTGAGGTTGGACTGACTAAATGACCTCTACACAAAGAGGTTTCCAGTTTTTAATTATTCATTGCATACCTAAATATTATACTGTATCAATTGTGATTATTTTTTATGTTTCCCACTGCATATTCTACATACCTGCATCTTTTAAATACTTTCCTCTTTAGTTATCTACATCATATATAAGAAGCCAACAAAAGTTACTCTACTGGGAGTCCTGCAACCTCATATTTATACACAAACTTAAATGCTAAATTCAAAGGTCAATTTACCAAAAAAAAAAAAAATGTGTGCCACGATGAGCTACCAGGAAAAAATATACTGCAATTTCAGATTTGTTCAAGCCAAGACACAATTTAAATAATTCATCAGAACAATTACTACTCATTGCAAAACAGTTTTCAAATGGATCGCCATTTATCTTGCTCATTTATTAATTCCTCATCCTTCTTACAGCATCAAATTCAAGGCGCATGTCACAAGTTCCACAAGTGCTTACCCCGACTTTCCCACTGACTGCCTGAACTTCAACTGCTCATTGAAACTCTGTGGGCCTGTTTCATGATCATCTGTAAAATATTAATTGGACCTGCTTCCCTGATTGATGCAAGAACTGAGTTATGGTTTACAAAAGGCTTTGTGATTCACACATGAAAGGCACTACAAGAAAGCAAACTGTCATTGAGTGTTACAGTTTTCATCTCAATTATCTTAAAGTAAGGAAAGACGAGTAGTCTAAGCTTCCAAAACATATTAAAGTAGCATGATGTACCAGAGAATTTTAAAAACTAAAGTGGGCAATTGTTGATTCAAGTTTTTTTCGAGGAATCAGAAATGTCATTCACAGATAAGAGCAAGGAGAGACAAAACAGAGGGAGATATAAAGTTACAGTTGGGTTCCAGGATCTGTCAGTCAGAGAGTTTGCCACTTCAAATTACCCACTGGACTCCAGCCCAAGAGAATTATAGATTTAACAAAAAATCTTACTAATCTTCAGCCACCTACCCAACTCTGATGTTGACCTACCATTTCCTAAAATTAAAGCAGTGATTTTCATGTCTTAAGGGCAAATGAATTAAAAGTTAACTCTATTAGATTTGTTCTTATACTAGAGAACATGAAAACTGAAAAACTAAATCTAAATTGTACAGTGATGGTGAAGCATCTATGCTGTACTTTAAATTTCCTACAAACATCTTAGCCTCCTAAGGGTGTGGGAAACAACATCATTCATAGCTTGTATAGTTACAGTGTTTGACACCAACTAATAATTCCATTTAGCTGTACTGTACTTATTTTCACCTTTAAATTATAGCTGTGAAAAATAATAAATTAACTAACTAACTAACTAAAGGCCCTCAGGCTGCTTCCTTACCACCACAGGCTATTACACACAAGAAGAATTTCTAGGCCCTGGACCAAGAAAAGAAATCGTCACTGCCCTATGTTTTAAAGGATTGTTCTCAACACAAACTTTGAAACTTGATCATTTATTATGAAATCAAACCAAGAATGAAGAAAACTTTCAAAGTTCAAGTACAAGTAAAAGAGATCTAATAGCAAAATAGATGATATCCCAAACAGAAATAAAAGCAAGGAAATAGCACGGCGGGATAGCTGTGACACACTCGTATGTTCACACCATGACAATAAGTAGTCTGAGCAAAAGTTTATTGGTATCAGCCCACAAAACCTATATTATATGTTACTAATATATAATCTCATATATTAGATGATTAGTCATCTAAATAAAAAGAAGGCATCTGTCCTTACAATTTTTAATTGAAACCTAGAAAGCTAAAGAATAATAAAGGGAAAAAAATTTAATAATCTGTCAACCCGTGAAAAACTTTGAATTTTCCAAATCATACGTGAAATGAGCAAAATGAACAGTAAGTGAGAGTCGTGTAAACAACAGTTTTGAATGGGTCATCTAGTGATTTGTATTTTAGAATAAAGCAGAGCATTTCTGAAAGCCAGTGTATTACTTCTAAAAAGAAGGGGCATGGAACGAAAGTATGATAAAATGCAGGTCTTGCTTTTAAAGAGACGTTAATGTGAGTCGCACACACTAACATTTCTTTGATTAGAGAGACCCTTTATTCTAAGAGTAGAGTCAACAATAGAAAAAAATTAGCTATTCCATCTGTCTGAAAATCACCTATACATTTTGCCTCTCTGAAAAGCCATTAGTGAAATAGGAAAACTATTTTGTGCTGACAACTGAGGTAAATGATCATTCTCCACAAGGCACTAAGCACCTCCATTATGAGAAAAGGCACCATTGCCTGTGGCATATATACCTCCTCTGCCTCCATTTTCTTTAAAAAGCTTCTTCTTCTGTTTCTTCCTGAGCAATTCTGAAAAGGAAATACAAAGGTGTATTTCTGGATACAGGAGAGGATACAGACAAAAGCAAAACAATTGATGGCCAGTTCTCACTTTTTAAAAAGACAAAGGGAGTTAGCATGTCAGTCACCAATTGAGATGGTTTGTTTTATCAGTATATGGGTTCCAGGGGGGAACAAGCACAAAATAAGGCCATAAGTCTTAAAATAAACAGACATGCTTTGGAAACTTACTTTTAAGTCTCTCCTGCCAAGATTTACAAAAACACAAAGCTTTAATTTACTCTGAGCATGCCGCAGCAAGAAGATAAAGCTGGAGCCATCCTTTTGATGCCATGAGTCTCAGGGCCTGAAAACTGAGTTATCACTCTCCCTCCTCTCCCCTCATTTTGTCTGATCACATGGGATCTTCTTAGAAGTTTTCCACTGTGCTCCTTTGGTGAAGTAAGACTCCGAACCTCTAAATAACTCCACTGCCCCCTTCGCCGTATCATTGCCCAAACTGCCTGTCTTCACAAGTAACTTTTCTATGTTCTACAAATTGGGGAAAATATGGCAGACAAGTCACTCTGCCTCACTACATGGCCAAGGACTCTCTAACCAAGTAAAATATAAGATAATCTTCTGTTTCTCATGAAACACAATAACTGAACTCATACTCTAATCTCAGAAGAGAATTTTCAGACCCCAACCGGCAAAGGATGATTGATGACAGCAAAAACCCTCACAAATAAAGAACTCTATTGAGACATATAAGTGCCATGCCAACTGATACAGGTTTATTGAAAAATACAGAGCAAGACAAGTTTCCCTTTATAGAGGAAAAAAAAAAATCAAAAGCCCAGAGACACAACAAGGTCAAAACATGCCAAAACCACCAGAGACCGGGACGCGGGTTGTAAAGTTTCTGGAAACATCCAGAAGCATATGCGCCACCAGTGATAAACACTTAAAATAAGCTTGGTGGTGGCCAGAAAAATCACAGATTGCCAAAGGCAGCTTATTTAGGGCTAGTAGCCAGCAATCAGGCAGTCAGAATAGGTGTCAGCAACGAAGAGCTATTCAGGGACAGGCAGCAAGCTGGAAGATCCTGGAAACACAGTTGGCAGGTCGTGGAGTCTTGATTCACTCACTGGCTCCTACAGTTAGCAATTTCTTCGGCAGCTGGACACACAGGACCGCTTGTATGTCCTGGAGACACTGCAGGCTGGCTGACAGACAGAGGAAACTCCTCCCGCTGGTTGGCATACAGTAGAGGTGCCGGCCACGGGCCGACAGCTGCTGGAGACAAAGGTGAGTGGCCGGCTGCAGGTAGCTGAGCAGGGGTTGGAGACACAGGTCACCTTTCCAGGGCCAGAGCTGCAAGAAGTTTGCTGGTAACATGTTGGCTGGCAGACAGGAGGCTCACAGCAGGTCTCCTGACCACAGTGGTCCAGGAGCCAGGAGCCAGTTTGGAAGGAACTGGGCAAACAGATGCCACTCAGGCAGTCGGCATCATGAGTAGAAGCTGTGGCAACTGGGGCCACTGGGACAGTGTAGTGTCCTCCAATTGGCCTGGAAGAGCAGTTCCTCATGGAGCAGTTGTAGGACATGGTACCAGACAGAGAGCTGTGGGTAAGCTGCTGAAGCTAGTTCCTGAGTTGTGAATGTCACTTCAGGCTACTGAGCTTTTATACATCCTTGCTGGTGGGTGGGGCTGAGAAAACTGGGGTGGGAGCTTCTTTGGCTCAGACTGGCTTGCCTCAGAACACCTTGTGAATCTCCAGGATAATTGTCTCTTGAGAAGCCTTCATCCTCATAAAGAAAGTTTAGTAGTTTGGTAACTAAATCATAAGGCTTCCATACTTAGTCCCAGGATTAAGAAGGTTGGTTGATGGCTTCAAAGCTATTGGTCATCCCAGCCCACACTTCATCCCTTACTCATCTTGCTTGGATAAGATGATTGTTGATCTGACAGTAGCACCAAAAATACCACCATCCTACCATCACACACTCTCCCTTCTGACCAGGACTCATTACTAACCCATGCTCTGTTTGGTTTTTTGTTGACATTTAATGTTTTAAGCAGAACTTAACCAGTTACTCTCCCATAGCTAACGGGACATGAACATGCTTTAAGATGACAATGGCAACGCCTGTAAGGAAAAAGGACGGAAAGGCATATACAAGGTATAAGCTGACTCAGAAAAGTTACCATGTGACCAGAGCATGATGCCAGAAGGAACTTCAGAGGACAACGGGACTCACCCTTTATGTTCAAACACCAAAGCGAATCAGAAGCTAATAAGTAGTTTTTGTAGCCAAGTCTCTTTCTAAATAAACTCGATAAACTTTATTCCAATAACTGTAATCTAATAACAATGGATAAGCGTGACCCATAAGAATTAATATGACAGTGGAACGGGCTTAGTCAATTTTTTAAATTATTATAACATTAATTTAAAAGGCTGCAATGTCTTTCTCCCAAGAAGCCCAATATAGTCAAAAGATATTTATTTTCACAAAAATACTTATAGATATGATGCATTTTTATCATGGACAAGCCAAAGTCTCTTCAAGGTCATTATCTCCATCAGGGATAAGGGTGGGAGGAAGCAGGCACTTAATATTTGGTAATGAACAAATATATGAACAGTGTGCCATAATATTTAACTACTGTTTTTGTTCTTGGAAAAACCAGATAAAGGATATCATTATCCTTTATGTCATCTCACTACAATATAGTCAATTCTAGACATCTAAATGACTGATCCTTTTTGTCCACCTATACACAAGCAGTTCAACTCTAGCAAAATAAGTCACTCAATATTATTTAAGGGGTCAGTGATATTTACACATCAAAACCACCATAAAATCTGACTCACTTCATAAACTATCTTACGTGGGGTAGGAAAGATGGACAAAAATCGATTTCCATATATTTAAGAACTAAAGGGAGACTACATTTTAAACATCCACAAAGCAAATAGCTTTATGTTAGAACTCATCAGAAGTCCCTTTGCAAAATGCTTCATTCATCTCTATTCTTTCTACTGAAGCCACGTTGGGAATTCCCCAAGTCTCTAATTGGAAGCTAATAACATACCCAAACAAGATGATGCTATGTTGTGAGCTGTATTATAATTCCCAGGGATCAGACCAGTCTCTCACTCAGTGACTCGAAGCATGTTCTTAGGTACAGGGAGAAATTAACAAGATGACTGCTTTCCACAATGTTGTAACTATGCTCTTCCCACCATGGGAAATGTCCCAGTTGGCACTTAAAGGTCAGAGTCCCTGGCCACAGGAGCTGGCTTGTTTGTTTTAAAATGGATAAGTAGTTTACAGGCTTCCACCAGCCATGAACTCATAGGCTACTGCAGAAAAATACTGAATCTTGTAAATTAATCAAGTGACTGAAGAAAAAAGCAAAGTCAGTAGTAAAGTTACAGAGGAAGTTTTCAGAACCCATCACCACATTTCTGGAATGGCAGAGATTTTTATAAGTCATTACTCTGTCTTGATTTCTCTTTTCCACTGAATATTAAAAATTACAAACAGAAGGATCCTAGAAAATATCTTCCATCATCTTCAGGAGAAAAAGAAATGAACTTAGTTTTTCTGATCACATGACTCTCTTCCAGACATTGAGAGGCTTCACATAGATCCATCGCAATGTGTGCTTCCAGGAACTCTATGGGGTAGGTAGGTTTCATGTCACATGAAAGAGCCAAAGTTCAGGGAAGTTGAATGGTTCACCAAGGTGATACTGTTTATATTTGACCAAGTTGAGATTAAAATAAAACAAAGCCATGAACTGTCAAGCTTCATTGGGGATATTTAAACATGATGAGATTCCTTCATTAAAGTTAGAGCAAAACTTTTATTTTTAAAAAGCAATCAATCAATGTTCCACGGATGACACTACAAAGGATGTAGTCTTTATTTCTCTTCTTGTTTTATCAATTGACTCGCAACAGAAATAAAAATAAGATTTTAAAACAGTAAGTTACAAGCACTGCTATCCTTATGCTTTACGTTTTTTTCATTCTATATACATTTAAAAATTGTTACTCATTAAAATAAAATGTAAGGTCGCTTCATACAAAGCAGGAAGAGAAAAAGAGCCTTCATAGCTCGAAGCTATAATTTGAAATTGCAATTATTTATAATAGTAATGCATACAACTAATTGCTAGAGAACAACAGAGAAGTGAATTGATTTTTCAGGTCTAGGTGGCAAGACCTTTCTGAAAGAACAGGGTTCACAGATTCTGAAATCAGGTTAAGATGACATTTTATAAACAGTGCTCTTCTAGTCACAAAGGAAGCTAAACAAATAGATTCTTTAGGTAATTAGATCTAGGGGATCTACTCAATGGATTGCTTTCTATTTAATGTCTGCAAAATGGCAGGCTCTCTGGAATATGGATGAGTCTGGTGTCTTACACTATTCAATATAGAGTTAGGAAAGCTATTTAATATGCTGGTACATTCGATTTTTAGATACAAGTGTTTAGACTCTGCATTTGGATTCACTAAGTGATAAAAGTGAAGAAACTTGCACTGACAACCACATGAAGCTTGAAGAATCCCTTCACAATACTAATTCCGCAGTGTTGCTAAATGAAATCAATAAATCATTCTTTCATTGGAATGTAAGAAAAATTACATGGCCCAGCAGCTATCACCATGTGATTCTATGGAACATGAAACTTCAACTCAGTGAAAGGCTTTGGAAAATTATTCTGGTGTCTGCAGAGCACGAAGTGAGGGGGAGGGGGGTGTGATAAGAGGAGACAAGGAGAGATTAAAGAACTACTGTCCATTATCTTCATCACTGATGGATAATTTGCCCTCGTTTGCATAGAACAATCTTAACTTTGTACAATAATTATCACCAACTGGAAATGAGCAATTGTTTCACTCAAAACTGAATCGCAGCAATCATAAGGCCAAGTGTTGGAAAGTAAAATGAATTAAACATGCGTGGGAGGCTGAAGTTTTGATATGCAAGACGGATATTTCTCATCACACACTGTTGACCAATGCCAGTTCAAAAAAAAACAACAACAATTTCATCAAACAGAGGAATAGTGAACTTGCTGAAAAATTAAAAAAATAAAAATGGAATTTGGTCATTTTGCCCTTTTTCAAAATGCCC